TGTAGATCTGCATTCAAACCACAAATAAATTAACTTTCACTATAAAATGTCTCAAAAACTAACAGTTATCAAAGTGACTAAGATGCCTGATTAGTCATTATAAAACCAACTCATCATAATACTATCCTTTTTATTTGGAAAAAAAAGAAAGTCTATAACATATGCTCAATGATGGTTAAACATTTGTGGGTTGGTTCATGATCAAATTCTGTTCTTTGTCAATTCTCATATGAAAAAAAAAAAGGATTCTGTTCATCCATATTATTGGTTTATTGTCAATCATCTCACTAATTCTTCTGAACACCACCAGCATCTTTATTTGAAGGAAAAACATTATAGCTAGTCATTTCTCTCCTTTGTTGTCCATTTTGCAATGATTCTTACCTTGCAGGAAATCAAATTTGGCAACACAAAATTGCAGTTACTGGAAGTTATTGTTATTTGTTCTTGTCAATCATCTAAGTCTTCTCAATCTGACCAGTTGCTTTATTTGAAGGCAAAATATTATAGTCAAGTCATTTTTCTCCTTTTTGTGTTTTTGCAATCATCTAATTCTAACTTTGCAGGAAATTAGAAAGCGTGGCCTCAAAGTTGCAGTTGCTGGAATTCCTAAAACAATTGACAATGACATTCCAGTATTTCCCACTTCACCTGCTATAGTTCTGAATTAATATGAATGTTTGTCTTGTCTTAAATTGATGCCTAACGTGTTATTACCTAGATTTGCTTATCATGATTCAGGTTATTGATAAATCGTTTGGGTTTGATACTGCTGTTGAGGAGGCTCAACGTGCAATTAATGCTGCACATGTTGAAGCTGAAAGCACCGAGAACGGTATTGGTCTAGTGAAGCTAATGGGCAGATACAGTGGTAAGCTTTTTCTTGTGATTGATATTATTCTATTTTTTCAAAGCCATAAGAGAATGATACGACAAGCATTCTATCTTGACTTGACTTCAGTGGTTTATTTCAGTAAATTCGAATTCCAACCTTTTACTGAATTGTATGGAATTGCTGGTGTAGGATTCATTGCTATGTACGCAACTCTAGCCAGCCGAGATGTGGACTGTTGCTTGATCCCAGAATCACCCTTCTATCTTGAAGGAAAAGGTGGACTCTTCGAGTTCATTGAAAAGCGACTCAAAGAATTTGGACACATGGTCATTGTTATCGCTGAAGGCGCTGGACAGGATCTCCTTTCAGAGGGCATGGATGGGCAAGATGCTTCAGGAAACAAGCTTCTTAAAGATGTTGGGTTATG